TGCACACTGCATACTGAATGCCATAATTAGCTTCTCATTTGCTTTAGTCCTCTCTATTATACAGTGTTATTAAGCTTCTACTCTACATCTTATCTTTTTCCTCATCTATTGCTATCACACAGACAGCATTTTGAGCCAACAGTCAAATTTTGTGTCATTTTGGGATGAACAATTTAAAGCAGAATATTGGGAACCATGTTTAGCTTTGACAAATGTATGTCTGCATTCAGGCTCTTCTCCAGTATGGGTCCCCTGACCAGTGCTTCCACTGCTGCAGCTCTCCTCCGTCAGCCTGCTCCTCCTGTAGAGAACCCCACCCATGCAGGCACCGTCCTCCCCGACCCATCCTCTACTTCCTCCTCCTCCTCTTCCTCAGCCGCTGCAGACCGCAGGGCCTCCAGTATTGCTACTCTGCGCCTCAAGGCCAAGGAACACTCGGCTCAGCTCACCCAGCTGAACATCCTGCCCGCCGGAGCCACAGGGAAGGAGGTGTGCTGAACACTAGCTCTAGGCCTCCCTGTCCCGGGCTTACGTCCCATTCCATGACACCCCTGCCCCCACCCCACCCCTGCCCTCCTCCTCCCCCCTCCCCCCATTCATACCTTTGGAGTCTGATGTCTTGATGTCCCTGTGTTCAACCATCCATGTTACCTCATGTTTCCCCAACAAAATAGCACGACCAAATCCAAGAGAGCACTAGATAAAAACAAACAAAAATTGTGTATGCATGTTTGTGTCCAAAAAAAAAATTGTAAAATTGATTTACACTCCATAAACGCAGCTTATTTTCCAAGTTTTTCATTCAAAGAACAATTAGCTTACAATATTAGGATACAGCTGAAAAGATCAATTTGAAGACAATTTAATAACTGAACATTATAGACACACACACACACATACAGTATGTTTGAATAGACTTCTACTTGACAAAATTTCACAGGGAAATGGAGCCTGCTTTTTAGTCCACTGAATGACTCACTTACTAATTACATGATCTTATGAAATATGAAGAAATATTAAAGCCCAAACAACCCAACAGTATCTAAAACCACCTTAGAAAAAAATGGATCCGTAATATAATCTAGTATAACACTCACAGGGCCATTTTCAGCACTGAATACTCACCTTTTTATACTCACCTACATTTTGCCATCAATTCTTCTGTACTTTCACTTAAGCAAGAACCTAAAAGCAGGACTTTTTAAACAGTATTTTACAGTGGAAACTCAAGTAAAGGATCTGTCATAGCATGCACACACAAACACATACACAAAGATGAAGAACTGCAGAGGAACCCAGAGCTTTAGGTTTCTCCTGCTATACTTCAAATGTGGACAGCACCAGTGCTCGACATTAACACTGCTTAATCTGTATGCATGGATGTGGGCTGAGCCAATCCGCGTCTATAGGCGAGTTGGAGGAGGTCCACCCCAGAACCAAAGGAAAACTGTCCACAGACCTTCCGCAGCCTTCTCCTCAAGCCTGACCCCTCACCACTGCTCGCCTGTCCACGCCAGTCACACTCAACAACACATACATGTTCTAAAATCTCCCCATGAACCCCCCTGAAGCCGTCTGCACCAGATTTCTCTAGGTTTTCTGCAGTTTATGATCCTCCCCCCACCCCACCCACCACCGCCACTGATTATCACAGCACGAGTGTGACTCCAGGACACGGGAGCAACGTTGAGATCTGAAATGTGTCTAATGATCTGTGTGAAAGAAAACTGTACATACTGTGTAAAAAGAAAAAAGTACGACAAAAAAGATGATTTTCAAAGGTCGTGTATATTTCAGGAAACCGTGTTTTGATAATTTGCACTCCGTGTAGTGTTCACTGAACGTCGCCCTGTGTAGAATTTCACCTGTGTTTATGAATTATTAGGTTTTTCGATCATTATTTATGTCAAAACTTTTTCCCGAGGAACTGAGTGAAGGACAGTTTTTTTCTTATTAAGTGACTGTAAGTTTCCTGGTTTAATATTGCTAATTTGAATAAATTACATTGGTAAAAAGAGTTATCTTTTATTATTTCAAATTCCTTTAGGACTGACGTAGGCCTAAAACAGGAAACGTTAACAATGTGAAATAGAATATTATACAACTATTAATAAAAGGTGTTATGAAAAAACTGTGTTTGCTGTCTTACATTGAAGGATTTTAAACTTCACAAGTAAAAAAAAAATCTACGTATATGATTCTTTCATTTATTACAAACAGGCTAATTTTAATAGCTATACTGGAATGTGAAATAAAAAAAAATCCACCCAGCTTCAGTAACAGGTTGCCTGATGTGCAGCAGCTGAGATGGACAAAAACATTTGTGCAAAAAGGAATTGAACTCCGCAGAGAGTTGAGATGGAGACGCAGTGTTTCCCCTTAATGGAAGAAAATATATTAGGCTTATAATCATGTGCGCTGCGTGCGTCTGTCCTCTTCAACAGTAGTTGACAAAATACTGACCATATATTCATGAGCTTAATCCCCAACATGTGAAACGCGTGACAAAGGCGAGGGGTTTTCAATTAGACTGGCCAATTTATTGGGGGGGGGGGCGTCTTTTAAAACCCCTTAAAACGCTAAATTGGGCTTAACATCTGTAATGCCATGTCGATAGAAACGAGTTCCTTTTGTTATTAATGAAGTAACAAACCACTTCATCAAACGGCTTTCAAACACACACACACACACACAGACACACACACGTCGTGGAGTTAATTCTCTCACCACTGATGCAGGACTTCCATACCAATCAATGGTTATTCTCCTCCGTTTGACCCAGCTATAGCCCGACCAAATCGCGTGAAATTACCCCGCGGATTAATGTAGTCCCTCCTTTTCTTGCCTGCACCTTTAAAACCCTGCTCTTGTTTAATAGGTCGACAGAGCCTACTACACCTGTTAATCACCCAATTTAGTGCAAATACGCAGGAATTAGACCCGATAAGGAACTGATGGCGACATACATCTGCAGCCCAGCTGATTTTTTTTTTTTTTTAAGACACACATGCTCTTTGGAGCATAATGCAAGAAGAACTATTTCTCCTGTGCCCACAGACCACCACGAGTTTTAAAATTCTCTATTCTGTTGCTCAAGCTCATTGGAGCGTGTGTTTTTCCTGTATGGCCCTATAGGGTTTTGATGAGATTGTCTGGGGAGTTTTAATCTCATTGTGAATATAACTAATGAATGGCAAACCAATTTGTCCCTAATATCTGGGGAATGCTGGGAGGCGGATGACCTGCTGGGAGCGAGGCTTAAACTTTCTTTGTAGCGCAAAAAGGCGAGAAAATTGAAATGCTGTCGCAGGGAAATAGCTCTCGATTTATAAAGTCACACTTGTTGGATGTGTGCTCTTTCATTCATGACAGGCCTGTACTTGCATGAGGCTCCTTATTGCATGAATGATCATGATAATGAATGTTGACATAAAAAGGGTCAATACAGCCCAATCATGACTTGTTTTCTTGGAAAATGGCTGCAAAAAAAGTAGAGAATCTACATGATTTGGTGGATTGTGTCAACTCGTTGGGCCTTAATGCTCCCCCACGCCTCTGACAGGTTAATCCAGGTACCCAGAAAATTTCCTCCCACTGCCTCTGTCATGCCCATTTCTATCAGCACCATTCTCCTCGCTTCTTTTCCTTCCCCCCCTAGCTATTGGACTTGATTTGGTCCGTGATTTAGTTTCCCCCGGGCCTCGTTTCTCCCACCACGTCCCTGCATGAGAGAATAGACCCAATCACTCCACAGCCCCAGTCGGATCAGTCCTCACTCAGTCCCCGGGAGAGGAGCTCTAAAAGGCGCTTTGATGAACACCCCACCCCCCCGCCCTCCGCCTCTCGGTCCAGATGAAAGACCTGAATAGCAAGGCCATAGCACTCCGCTCCCCTCTCGGATCGCCCCTTAATTCCTCGTCTCTCTTGCTCTCATCCAATTAGCTCAGTGTATTAAGCGGTTTATCGTCTCATAACCGGCCTTTCAGCTCCAACAAGGGAGACACTTTGCAATAGGACCAGCTCTCCTTTTGACACCCTCTCTGGTGCTTGTATGTTCCACCGCGCTATGAATAACAGGGACAGAATAGGGGGCTAATTCCCTCATCAAAGCCTACCTTGTCCATCGCTGGTCAAAACGACAAGCAATAAAGCTTAACACGACAATATAAAGAGACTTGCTCGACCTTATTAACTTAGTGGGGTCGAATTAATGCAGAGACTCAATTTGACTGGGCTTACTCCAAACTGGGAGGACAAAACCAGCCTGATTCCCAAAAAGTGGGAATAACAGGCCTGTGCGCATATACAGTGAGCTCAGGTTGATTAAATGTGAGGAAGACGGGGAGACAGCAACTGTGCCAGGAGTAGCGGAGCTGATATGATTTAATAAATATGTAAAGTTATGAGCAACAGGCTGTAAATGCACCGAGACACTTTCTCTCTCTCACACAGCATGTTCTATCCATTGCATAGTGAATCATGGTTTAAGTGTTCAGCCCACTTAAGGTTGCCTTCACAAGTCACAGTGGTTTGAAGTGATTTGTGAGGCATGCGGTGTTTATGGAAATGCACGCTGCAGGATGAAGTAAAAAAAAAAAAAAAAAAAAACTCCACTGTATTAACACAATGGAGAAATCTTGGAGGAAAATGGTGAAACACTTCATGTAGTGGGTTACAGACAGAATTAATACACACAGGAAACAAATGCAGTATTTAGAAACCGTAGTACAACATGACAGAAGTTTCTGAACTGGCTTCCCACAAGTTTCACCATCATGATACTGCCATATCAAAACTAGATACATGTACCATGTGGTATCACATACTCTTGTATGGGAACAGGACCTGCTCATTCACCTGAAAACAAGTAAAACCTCACCAAAAGCCAACACTGTGAAATAGAGATGTCATGATCTTCTCCTACATTGCTTTAAAATAAACTTTTTGGCAGGTTTGTTGCAGTATGAAAACCCATCAGGATCTCTCCTCACGTTGCAAATAATACATGATTCACATCTTATCCATTTATCTTTTTATTAAGGTTCCAGTATCAAAAGGATCGTCATTAACATCAAAACACCCAGCATGAATTATTCTAGGTGTGACAAAACCCCTCCTGAGTGATACAACTCAGACACAGAAGGTCACATACATTTAATCAATCTACATAAAAAGGAGAGAAAAAGGAGTGAAAGCAACGAAATGACAGTTAACCAGAGGTGGTGGTGATGATGATCAGCTGTTCAACAGAGACAAAATGCCTCCCTGCATCGTCCTTATGTCCATCCTCTGATCTGACACACACTTGGGATGAATGGTGGTAATCAGAACGAGTGTCCGATCACCGCAGGCGTTCAGTGGTGTTAGTAGCCGGGGTCACCATCAATGGCTAATTAGCGTCTTTTGGAGTATACTATCTGCTCTGAGCACAAGTCACTTTTTTCACACATCTGGGCCCAGCAAGCCTCCACACACACACTATAAACTGCCATTTAGGTACGATTGCTACAGGGTGAAGGGGGCCACATCATGTGTCTGCACAGAGCATCTATGTGAAGAAATGGGAGCAGGAGAAAGGCACGGATTGGGTTTTAACACATACAACAAGCCCGTTAGGCTCAGAGAAGATGATATGAAGGTTAAGAGGTCAATGCCTAAAATCTGGTTCAGACAGGGTTGAATGTGCAAATCTCCAGCTTTGAGTCCGATGCTGAAGCCTCCTGGTGGTGGTGATGTCTTTACACATGTGCTGCTTTACTTGAAGGAGGAGAAGGCCTGGAAAAGTTTGGCCAGGTTAATCTCCGAGTAGCCACTGGTGGCCAAGACTTTCTCTGGGACGTGCATCAGCTTCCGGTACATGTCCCGGTACATGTCCTGTTCTTTGTTTGAAATTTCTGGAAAAAAAGAAAGAAAGGAAAGAAGAGTTATCTCTGCCAGAGCCCAAGAGAAGATCATTCAGCTCCTCAACCTCATCAAAGTTAATACAACAGGCTGGTGTGACATGTCCTCCTGAATGACTCTTGCTCTCCTTCTTACCTATGACGAAGTTCTGCCGAGTCTGTAGGAGGAGCAGTGTGCACACCAGCTTTGTCTCATTACTAATAAACACATCCAGTGCTATCTGCTAGTAATGCTATCACTTTGACAGCTGGGATGGGTGGGGGGCGGTTGACAAAATTGGACCGTGATGGGTCGATGGCAGCAGCTCGTGCACACACAGGATCATAGGATCGACAGAAAAGCCCAGCCAGACTGTGAAGTCGATGGCTTGTTCCCGCTGTCCCCACGCGGGGAGAGAGAAGATGGAGAGCCAACTGTCCTTGGCTCGTCAGCCGCCGCAACAAAATCTTTACCATATTATAGTGGCTGTAGCATCATGGAACCAAGTACTAACATAGTATCACAGCAAAAACTGCAGCAAGATACATCTGGAATAATAGGCTGCCTGGTGCAATAGTAAAGATGCAGGAAAATGAAAATAAAAATATTTGTTTGGCGTGTTACCGACCTAATTTTACAGCACCAATCCATTGTCATTCATAATAGTCAAAAACTGTGCTTTTGTACCTTTTTAATTTTATATTAAAACCCGTGAAAGATCCAAAAACACCACATACACAATCAGCGAGTCACTTGGACTCACTTTATTTGCTGCTCAGACCATCAGGTGAAAAGTATTTAGAGAAACAGCACTGGTACTACAGCTATGTAAACAGGGCCCAGGAAAAGCCCGTTTGTCCAATTTTAAACAAGACGTAAAAATAAACTGAATAGATCTATCCAACTCAGACACAAACAGAAAAAAACCAATGGATGAGCTCAATGGGCTCATAGGCCAAGAATTTACATGTCAAAGGAGGGATCAACTGTATAAATGGTTTTCTCTGGCACACTTTCCATATGCAGGATATGTAACCGTGCCATTCACCTGTATGAGTTTTACCTTGTGAAGACAGAGAATGAACTGTAAAAGTAAATGGAGTGAGTACAACTGATTGACAACTAGCAGGTATTTGTGACTCTGTCCCAAGTGGAAGAAGTTTGTAGGCTTCACTGAAAGCTTTGGAAAACCATCAGTGGGATTTCTTACAATCTCCTGCCTATAAATCAAGTCCATACATATAAGAAGGCACATGGGTGAATGTCTAGTATGTTTGAATGATGAAAGACTACCCGACTGACTGTCAGACGTTTGGGGATTGTCCATCAACTAACTCTCAGTAGCTCTCACAACCCTGACTATTAACAATAAGAGTAAAAGTATAAACCTATACAGACGTTGTCATAAGACTACAGACAAATTTAAGAATGTTTAAAAAAAAAAAAAAGTGATATTTGTGTACATGCTGTTATTTATCTAGACTATATGCTACACATAAACACACACATTGTCCATATGGCCAGTTGTCACGTCCTCGTCATCTCCACAGGCCTATCTCCTGTCGCGTCCTTCCTGCCCACTACATTAGTGGCTGCTGGATAAATACCATCCCACCGACTGCCCAAGGGAACAAAGGTTAGACACACAGAGATCAACACTGAGGCAGACGCACACACTAAAAGAACATGCACACACAGACCACTGATGGTAGTTAAACACTTAAAAAGCACACCGACAGGCATGGCTACTAAAAAAAAAAAAATCCATGTGACATGCACAGGGCCACCGGTACGATACCTCGACTTCGATACTGGGTCCTGAATGGTACTTTTTTTTTTTTCCCCAATATCAATTTTATAAAATCCATTTTAACATACAATAATGTATATGTTAGACATTCTGGTATAAATCAGTAGTTCTGGCCATTTCTGTGGACTCAAAACTGTTTCACAACATAAAAAGTAGACTTAGTCTCCACAACCTTAAGTTCTGTTTACATTAACATCAAGTAATAAGAATGTAGAAAAGCATTTTTGATACTCGATGGTATTGAAGTAATTTGATCGATGCCATACAAGTATTGAAGTTTGATACCCAGCACTAGACATACACACAGACACACAGAGTGGTGTGGTTGACTTCAATACCAGCAGCAACTATTACCAGATAATCCTCATGTTAGCAAGGACAAGGATGGAGGGAGAAAAAGGGGAGACGAGAGGCTGGGAGAGACAAACTAGTCTATTTATCTGGGGGGTGATGATGATGCATGATCAAGCGAAAGCAATCATGTCATCATTTCTGAAAGGTAGGAGAAAATAATTCTGCCCCTCCTCTACTCTTCCCCACTCCTTTCTCTTTTCCACCTCAATCACTGTGTGGTGAACAGATAAAGGAATGATTTAAGAGTCACAGAGAGGGAAAGAAAGAGGGAGAGACCTTGCTGCAAGTCGGAGCACAGTGGGGAGTGTAGTTCAAATAAATAGCCTCCCTTTAAGAGTGAGTGTGAGGCGGAAGAGGAGAAAAAAGGGGAGATGGCGTTGTCGAGGAGGCCGAGACATGAAGAAAAAAGGAGAGGAGTGAAAATAACACCTAAGACAGAGATGCTGACTCAAATGAAAGCTAGCAATAGAGAGCATAGAGCAGACAAATATAGCTTTAGCTCCTCAAAACTTTATGTAATTAACAGCATGATGCTGAAATTTGTCAATCCCGATGACATCTTTTTTTCTCCATCACACACATTCACACCAACTCCTAACACACATGCACACAGTGAGTGAGTGTATCAGGGGTTATCTTTGCTCTAACTAGGTGTTGTCACACACTCGTGCACACTCTGGCGGTGCTGGGCATGAGTAGATCGGGGCTCTGCACGCTCTAACTAGGTGTAAATACAATAACAAGCCTGTAATTAAGTGAGCATGATGAAGTTAATGGAGATCGGCCATTCCATCGGCCGCCTCCATGAATATTCTATTAGGCTGGTGGCGACGGGCAGCTGGAATAGCAGTTAATTTAATCACCACTCGGAGCACAGGGAAACTTCTTTGTGTGAGTGTAATTGCACAGAATGAATAATTGATTTGACAATCTCACCCGCAGATTTTGCCACCCCGCTTTGTATTACCGGAGAAAGGGAGGGAAGCGTGGAAGATTGGGGGTGGGGGGTGGGGAGAGAAGGCAGACAGAAAGAGAGGAAGAGGAGTGGGAGGGTAGAAGAGGAGCAAACGCAGAGCGCTGAGAGGTGGCAGGGAAGCTGTCGCTAAATGGATCATTAGAAAAGCGCGGCTCAAGGACAATTTATATTTTATCAATGTGGCAAAATTACATTATTGCTTACACACGCAATCATACTGCCCACACTCAAGGTTGAGACCTGGAGAGGGAGGGGTGGTGAATAGACAGAGGGAGGGGGGGATAAAAAGAGAGAGCAGAGGAGACAGAGAGAAGAAAAGTGACATGAAATGATTTGAAAGTCATTGATACGGGATGTTCCCAGCTAAGGAACGGACAGCGTGGGTTTTTTCCCCATTGTGTGTGTATAATCTATTAGAGATCTCCTGCAGCGGGTGAAATTACCTCCATGTTTTACTCAGTCGCCGCAATCAGGCACAAAAATGCAATGTACATGTAGATAAGACAGGCGCACGCTTTCAAACGTGCACACACACACACAGACAGTGCAGCACTGCAGAGTACATGCACGTACAGGCTGATCACATTACATTCAGCGTTGACTCACAGCTCTTTTGTGTAAAGCCATTTTACTTTAATGTGCTTTACTGTGTATTTCCAGTGCACATTTAAACTTTTGTGAACGTCTGGACAGATATCACCAGTAAAGGTGCAGTATGATACACTTTTAGTTTAGTAAAGGGTAAGGAGAGTAATAGGTTTTTTACCCCAACAACAAACAAAACTCTAGAAACATTTGTTTCTCTCTCAGCACCATTATTATTGAACTTGTACATAACATTAAATCTACTGTTTGTGTTGCTAATTACACTACCTATCAGTTCATGTTCCTTTAACTTGATGTTCGAGCCACAAACATTTTTTTAAAAAAGGATGTTGTTAGGTTGCTCTTTAAAAATGTGTTACAAATACTTTAATTTTTCAAAAAAAAAAAACCCTAAAAGTGCTTTTTACCACAGTAGGACACTCCAGGCTTTAGACATCAATTCATTCAGACAGTAGTAAACCGTGCATTCATCAGTGAGCACGTTAAGCTGTGGAGAGACACACATGAAGGAATATGTCACCCACTGTAACAGTTTGCCCCATTAACATGCTTGAAGCATTTCTGACAAGTATGGAGCTCTGTGTCAATAATAACCTGTCCCAGGCTTTGGCGACACAGGCGGTACTTGAAGACCACCGAGTACATGCATCAACCTTCAAATGATTCCAAACAGCTGTATTTAAAGTTCTACTGACCAGAACCATGTCTGCCCAGCTTTTGTAGTAGAGTGTTAAAGGTACTGACATTCACCACATAGTGGTGTCACCATGGAAAGACAAAACAAAGCTATTAAGGTGACATGGTGTACATATACAAACAGGGCTCACAAATCAGTACAGGTATACACAATCCACTCTGTGCAGACACAGTCAGAGTACAGTAGGGTGTATAGGATTCTGTCTCCTCCCTGTAATCTGAGCTGTGGTCCCTGGGTGTATAATGCAGTAATATGGGGTATTACTGCCCCAGGACTGAGGGATAACACCGTAAACCTATATTTTCTAGCAACACGAGTGTGTGCATGCCTTCATTCTCCTCTGTCTGAGGAGAACACGTGTGTGTGTGTGTGTGTGTGTGTGTCAGATATGGATCATTTGGTGGAGACAGAGGTTTGTCAGTGTTGCCAGACAGACCCAATAGTCACATGATGTAAACCATTACTGACCATGGAGACCCATGCCTCATACTCTGTCCTAATCAACCCCTTACACACTTGCTATAAATACGACTTGTTGGCTTGATTCATTTATATAGCACTGTACTACAATGTTTACCTTCCAGCATAGTGCATCTTCACAGACCTTGGCAGGAAGCAGCCACATATACTGTCAAACTGCTTTTGGGCACATTGTAGTAGCTTAACCACACACACGTCTAACGACAGTAATTACAAACTTAACTTTAATTCATTTCAGTACTGTAGGTGTCAAACGACTGTCACAAGAACTCTCAAGAAATCTCTCTAAATGCCAATATTTTAGTTGATATAGATGGTAAAAGTGTGAATAAATATACCAACAGTCATAGTTTGCTGACTTTTGTTTTTAAAACCCACTGACTACAGTGGCAACAACACAAATACATTACTTTGTTTTGAAGGGTCACAAGCTCAGGATGTTGGGCTTCTCTACATTACAGTCTGCAATGTTAAAACTCAGCACTGGATGCGTGTCTGATTTTGAAACACTAAGTGGACCAAAAGCACATGTGTAATGTAAATTCTATTGAATCCGTCACTGCTGCTGCACTGATTCCTAGTGACAAACACTGATTTGGTGTCAGTGAACCACAAAAAGCACACAGTATTCACAAAACAAGATATCAAACTGCTCCACAACCATGAGATGTGCTGTATACTGAACACTATGGCACAATGGGCGGCTTCTAAACAGTAAGTTTTACTACAAAGTAATGAATATATTGTGTTTTATTGTACCGTGAGGAACAAAATACAACTGAAAGACAAAGCCCAGAGCAGATCAAACACATTGCAAAGAACAAGAACATAAAGAAAGGAGGAGAATCAAGAACTGATTGGCGATGATTTTGTGCATCTGGGCAAAGACAGAAATAAAAGAAAGCAAAAATGGAGGCTATAATCATGTTAGTACTCCTTCCCTTCCCCTCCTCCTCTACACTGGTCCAATCCCTCTATTTCAGCTTCCTCCATCTTCTGAGTGGTCATCGGTTGATTACACGTTATATTTACCTCTGCTGTCTCACTCTTTGGCTGCCTCACTCAGGTCCAGCCTCACGCACACACCCGCGGGATTCAGGCTTACATACATAAATAACATACATACATAAATATTTAATCAAATAAATAAATCACTCAGCCCAGTGGCCCTTTCTAATCAAGTGACATCAATCAGGGAGAACTATGGGTAAAGAGGCCTTGTGGCTGACGCCTACCGAGTGCACCCAGAGCACTGGAGTAGCGTCTATTTGAGTCCAAGGGGGGAAATATACGCTCCATGTCCCATTATAGGAGAAGGGCTATCCTTTCGTCTGTTCACCCATTACTCCCCCTATCATTTCCCCAAATCTAAAACCTGTTTTCAATCAACACAGCCAAACGAGTGCCTGTCCAAGAGAGGGAGAGAGAGAAAGGAGTGAGAGAGCAAAGGAGAGAAAGCGATAGAGATGGACAGTGAGGGTAGAGGGAGAATGATGGAGGGCTCTTTCCTTCTTTCTTCCAGTGATTGGAGCGTTTTGCATTCTGTATGTGTGTGTGATTGAATCCGTCTCCTAAATTAGGGCTGTCGACTCGAGGAGCTGAATGTCCTTAACCCCCCTCCCCACATCCAAAGCTTGTACTCAGCTACGTGTGTGTGTGTGTGTGTGTGTCTATCACATCATTGGTGAATATTGTAAGTGCAGGCTGGATAAAAGGTTTAAGTTGAGCCATTGATTGCTAATGCTATGTTGCATGTGTATTTGTGAGGGAACATTCTTAAGATATCAAAAATCAAACTTCAGTAGTGGTTTCTAGTAACTTGATTTCAGCTTGAAAGGCGGTACGGCAGAACAACAACAACAGCGCACATGCACACAAAAGAACAAAATATTATACATGAAAAATTAGTCTGGTCTCACAATGACTACAGGTTTAGAAATAAAATACTGCAACAGAGAGTAGTAGACTTCAGAAACTTCAGTTTGAGGCCTGTGGCACACCGAGTCGGCGGCCGGGCCATTGGCGAGCATCTGTCGACCTCATCTTGGCATTGTGTCCCACACCGTTGGCACTAGGCGAACCCTGTCGGTGGCTTTTCGGCCGATTCGGCATGTTGAACCGGCAGTGGGCCTCATCAGCTGTTCTGATTGGCTGTTCAATTTAGCGACTCAATGGACAAAAAAAAAAAAAAAAAAAAAGGTAAAAACCCCCTCACGCCCCGCGGCTGTAGTATCCATGATTTCACCCATTTAGTGCAGTTTGTCCAACTTCCTTCCTCCACAACCAAAAGCCCATGGGCAGAAAATGGTAGTGTCATTTGCAACTTCTTATGAGACACATTCTCGATTAGAAGCAGCTACAAACAGCAGCTGTTTTGAGCCAGAGGTTCTTTGTTTCTAGCTTATACTTCCACGGTCAAGCTCTTATTCTTTCCCTTTCTGAATGGCGAATACAGATACCGCCAGCTGCTGGTAGGGAGAGTTATTTTTGTCACGCAGGCGCAGAACATATGTGCTAGTCGGCCTTTGGCTGTAAGTCTGCGCGGTGTGCCATTATTTGAATTTACTGGCCCAGACAAAGGCGACAGAACAGTCAACCCATATGTCGAATGCTAGTTCTTCCATGTTAGCTAGGTGTGCACCTGCCCTAAGACCTAAGGGTACACTAGTGAACAACATGTAAGGTGTGTGTGTGTGTGCAGCCTTACTTCTCCTATCAGCCTGTGACAGTTTGGCTAGTGTGTAGTCCCAGTCAAAGATGAACCTGTAGAAGCAGAGCTGGTTGTACAGGGCCTTCTCGGAGTACTGTAGAGAGAGCACACATGCAAACAGTTACTTCAGCAAGAACACAAGACAAAACTAAACCAATAACATGAGTCAATGGTCCGCTGCAATCAAATCAAAGTAACACTAACAAAGACTCTGTTTTAAGTGGCGAGCTCACCCCATAGATCCAGGCACTAAGGTCGACGGCGATACTGATCCAGATTGACAAGAGGAGGCAACAATATCTTAAATCTGTCAAGTTCCTATTGTTTTCAGTGGTAAATGTGAAATATTTATGCTTTGGACTGTTAAGATAAAACAAGACATTCTGAAGATAGTGCCGTTTTCTATATTTTCTCACATCCTACAAACATCAATTAACCCGTTACTTGAGAAATTATTGGCAGATCAATCAATAATGAAAATAACCTTTGGCTGCAGCCTTAAAAGCAACGAGAATCCTCAGGTTGACTGAATCTTCCCGTTCTTCCTATTCTGCCGACATGGTGCGACCACAGCATTAAGGAACAGAGCATGTGAGTGTTTGACAACCATGGGGCATAAAGGCATTGAAAAAGGATTCACATACCAGGTCGATGGTTTAAGAGGCAGGCAGATTAAACGCGACTCTAGAAATGTGCACCACATTTGTACAACTACACCTCCCTGAAAACATCTCCCTTCCTCTGTGTGACACAGTAAAGCAAGAAAAATACGCTTGCTTTGTTAATCTCCACTGCAATTAACTGGAGCCACATGACAGCCTGCAAGAGAGCGATGGAGAGGATGAGTGAGACAGAAAGGTTGGAGGGAAAAAAGGAACAGAGAGAAAGGGTAAAGATACAGGAAGAAGTAAGTGATGGAGAGAATGGAGATGCAGTGAGAAAGAGAGTGAGAAGGAAAAGAGGGGATCAGGCCTGAAATACCCTCCCTCATAATAGTTTGTTGTGATAAGCCATTGTGAGAGAGGCATGTGAACAGCCTAGGCTGTCAATTTGATTAGCCATTATACTGCATGTTTAATTGCAGTTATTGGCTCGTCATTTCCCTGCTACGCTGGAGAGGGCATGCTAAGCCCCGACCCCACACTGCCATCAGGTGTGCGCCGAGTGCTTTATTATTACCACCAGGAAGAATCCCCTGACAATTCCTGTGTGTCAGTGTCTGTGTATGTGAGTGAAGTGAGTTTGTGTGTGCCCATTATACCTGCCAATCGGCAATGTGCGTAATTGTAATTTCAGTTTTTACTGCTGTGGCATAATCAAGTGGCAAGAGTATCTAATGCTGCTAAATGTAAACTATGCAACGTGCGTGTGTGTGTGTGTGTGTGTGTTTGTTTAATGGCTTTCTAAGGCTGCCTACATGGCACGCACAGCTGTTGACCGTTGATGCGCTGCCTAGTCAACAACCAAACCATGCACATCCCATAATGGAGCCTCGGTTACGGTTGCCAAGGTTGAACAAGCTTGGTCAGCACAAACACCACTTCTTCCTCTTGAAAATAAAACACACACACACACACACACACACACACACACACACACACACACACACACACACACACACACACACACAGCGCAACAGAGCATTCAAACAATATAATGCTGATTGTGGGCGGGCCAGTTGCTGTACACTGACTGACTGACAGGTGTCAGAAAGGCGTGGCTAAAATGTTAC